ATAATTCGAACTTTAAAATCTTTTAACGAATGGTTTATTTTTAAAACCCCACTTATAATATATTAATATTATATTAATAAAAAAATAAAAAAATAAAAAATAAAAAAATAAGAAAATAAAAAATAAAAAAATAAAAAAATAAAAAATAAAAAAATAAGAAAATAAAAAATAAAAAAATAAAAAAATAAAAAACATACATAATACATTAAATAATCGTTTTTCGAGGTTAAAAAAGGTCGATAAATAATAAAGTTCGAGTAAATAAATTATTTTTAAAAATATAAATCGTTAAATTTAAATCATCGATTTTAAAATTAAGTTAATTTTCTTTTTCGATTAATGAAAAATTATTTACTAATTTCGAATTTAAAATATTTAAACTTTTAAATTAAATATTAGAAAAAGGTGTTTAAAAGAACGATATATTAATAAAATGATTTAATAACAAGGTTGAAATTTAATTACTAATAATTAGTACTAACCATGACTAAAACTAATTTAATTAGTTTTAGCCTTGACTAAAACTAAGCTTAGTTAGTACTGGCCTTGACTAAAACTAACTAAGCTTAGTTAATTAGTAACTAAGAAAAAATTAAAAACTAAACTTTTACCGCATTTTTATTTTAAAAATTAATTTCTCACCCATTATTAAATATTTTTAAACAAATAAAGTAGTTTTAAAATCAGGAAGTTAAGCTCTATTTAATAATATAATATATATCTTATTATATATTTTATATAAATTATAATATCGATTCTAAGAACTTTACCCTGTACGAGGTTTTCATGACGTATTACTAAATCAGGAAATTAGCTATGATTACATAACATAGATTACGTAATAGAGGATTATTTGAAGAGTTCAATAATATATTTCATATATTTATAGCTATTTTATTTAATTAGTTATTAAGGATTTACTGTAACTTCAGGGTAACGATATTTTCACTTGGAAAGTTTTTCGAAAATGAAATATTTTTAAGTTTTTTTCGAAAAAATCAAAAGTTTCAAACTTTTTTTATAAATCGGAATAAATATATAAAATTAATCTGTTTGGAGCTTTTACTTAGTTTTTAATAAATATAATTAAATATAATTCTTTTAAATTAATAAGTTAAATATTAAATGATTTAGAAATTTTCGAAAAAATAAAAAATAAAAAATTTAGTTTTTAATATTTCTTTAGTTATTAATTAACTAACTAAGCTTAGTTTTTAGTTAATTACAGGCCTGATTAAAACTAATTTAGTTAGTTAGTTTTCTTACGTAATTTTAATTAATTAATTAGTAATTAAAAAAAACTAAAAACTAATAGTTTTTTTTTTAACTTTGTTTAATAATAAATAATTTAATAAAAATAATATAATATATTTTTAATTTTTAAATTTTTAATAAAATTAATTTTTTATTTATATAAAAAAATAAATGTAAAATATTTTAAATAATAAAACGATAAACGTTCGAATAATAAAATTATAAAACGATAAACGTATATTTAAAAATTATAAAATAATAAACGTTCGAAAAGTAAAATTATAAAATAATAAATATATAATTAAAAAATATAAAATAATAAATGCATAAAAATAAAACGATTAACGTACGATTTAATAAAATATTTAATATATTATTCGTTTTAAAAAAACATTCGATATATTAAAGTTTTAATATTATACGATTATTTTATTATTATTATAATATATCGTATGTTTTTAATTTTATTAAATTTTTATATATATTACGATATTTTTTTTTATTTTTAAAAATTAAAATAATATATTATTTATATCGATTTTTATATATTTATTTAACCGTTTTTAATACGTAATTCGTATTTTTTTTCGAAATGTTTACTTTTAATGAAATTTATCGAGTTATGCTTCGAAAAATCGAAATTAATTACGAATTATATACATTTTAATTTTAATTTTAAAATAATCGTAATACGCGGTAAATAAGTTTTATTTATTTAGTTTTATTTTTTTATTTCGTTTCGTTTTATATATTTATTTCGTTTCGTTTTATATATTTATTTTATTTCGTTTTATATATTTATTTCGTTTCGTTTTATTTATTTATTTATTTCGTTTTATTTTATATATTTCGTTTTATTTTTATTATAAAACCCGTTTAAATTAATTTATATTAATTTTAATCGAAAAAAACCGGTAACATTTATACGATTTATAATTACCACGTTTAATTATAAACTTTCGATTTTACGGTTAAAAATTTATTATTATCGTCGTATATTTTAATTAATTATTTCGATTTAACCGATGTAAATAAATTAATATTATAAATGATTTTAAATTTATTTTATTAATATATTAATAATATTATAAATATTATAATTAAGAAAAATACGGTTTATAACGGTTATTATTATATAAATTCGATTTTTTCGAGCCGAATTTTAATTATTTTATAATAAATTTTACCCTTTTTCGATATATAAATTTTTAATTATATTTAATTATATTTATAAATATTTATTAATTTATATTTAATGGTTTAAATAACGATTAAAAAGTGGATTTTAAATTTTAAAAAATTAATAAAAATATATTATTATTAAAAAATTTATAAAAAAAAAATAAAAAAATAAATATTTCGTATTTTATATAAATTAATTTTTAATTTTATTAATAAATTATAAAATATAATATATTATATTATAATATAATAAATAATAATATTTTTATTTATATAATTTTAATTTTTTAAAATATTTAAATTATTATAAAATAACGTAAAAAGTATTTTTATAAAATTTACGAATAAATTATTTATTAATATTAAAATATTAAATAATTAATTTAATTTAAATAATTAAATAATGTTTTATAAATATTAAAATATTATAAATGAATTTATAATATTAAATATTATTACTTATAATATATAAATAATATTCGAAAAAAAAGCCGTTTTTTAAGAAATATTTTTTTAAACTTTTTTAAAACGTTATAAAATAAAATAATTTTTCAAATATATATTTTAATTAAAATAAAATATATAATAATATTATAATTATATTATTATTATTATATTAAATATAATTTAAATTATTAAATATATATTATATTTAAAAAAATAAATAATTTTTTTTTAAAAAAAAATTATTATTAATTTTTAATATTTTTTTAATTATTAATTAATTAAGCTTAATTAATTTTAATTAAGTTTAATTTTAATTAAAATTAATTTTAATTATAATTAATATTAATTATTAATAATTAAATTTTAACTTTAATTAATATTAATTATATTAAAATTCGTTTAATATTTTTTCGAAATATTATATTTTAATTAATAATAATATTAATAATTAATAAAATATTTTTATAAAAAACTTTTTATATAATTTATATATAAAAATATTTATTAAAATTTTTATATTAATAAAATATTTATAATTAAAAAAAAAAATTTCGTAATAAAAAATATTTTATTAATATTTAATTTTTTTATTAATTAAAACGTAATATTTTTTAAATAATATTAAACGAATTTTAATATAATCAATATTAATAAAATTTAAATTCGAAAATTATTTATTATTTTAATTAATTCGAATTAATTTTAATTAATAAATAATATTACCCGCGTAATATAAAAACCGGATTTTAACGCGTAATATTATATAATAATATCGAATATATTTTTTTTCGCATATAAATTTAAATATAAATACATATATTAATAATAATTTAATTAATAATTTTCGAAATTTTAATAATATTTTATTATATTTATATATTTTTAACTTTAATTTATTTTTTTTAAATTAAATAAATTAATATAAATATAAAATTTATATTAATTAAAAATTTTTTTAAAAATAATTTAATTAATTTTAAATGTAATTATAATAATCGAAAATTAATTAATATATAAATAATAAAAATTAAAATTATATATAAATTATTTAATAAATTTTTAATTAAAAGTTTTAATTTTAAATATTAAATATATTATATATTTTTCGTTTAATTATTTAATTAAATAAAATTATAAAAAATATATAATTAATTTTAATTAATTAAATTATTAAATGTTTTTTATATAAATTTAATTATAAAAATATTTAATTCGAATTAATTATAAAAAAATAAATTAAATTAAAACGTATAATTTAATAATAAATTTAATAATTTATTTATTTTAAATTTTATTATCGAAATATTTTTTTTATTTTAATTATTTATATTTTATTTAATTTATAATTAAAATAAATGCATTTTATATTAATTAAATTATAATTAATTACGTTTTTAATTAAATAAAATTTCGTATTTTTATTAATTTATTTTATTAAAATATAATAAATCGAAATTAAAAATATATAAATAAAATAAAATTTTTATTTTATATTAATTAAATTATCGCGAATATAAATATTTTATATGTAATTTATATACGAAAAAAAATATATTTAATATTATTATATAATATTACGCGGAAAAATCCGGTTTTCGTATTACGCGGGTAATATTATTTTAATTAATTTTAATTTTAATTATAATTTAATAATTTTTTTTAATTTTAATTAAAATATAATTTATATTATTTAAAAACGTTTTATAAAATAATTAATTAAATTTAAATTTCGAATTTTTAAAATAATTTTAATTACGAAATAATTTATTAAAAATTTAATATTACGAAAAAATATAAATTTTAAAATAAAATTTAAAAATTTAAATTATAATATTTAAATTTTTAATTAATTTATATAAAATAATATATATATTTTTCGCCGGCTTTTTTTTAAACTTTTTTAACGTTATTATTAACGTTAATTATATAACGTAAATAATATTACTTTTATTTAATTAACGGTTTTTTTTTTCACTTAAACCGGGGTGTAAAATACTTAAAAATTTCCTTACGAAAAATTACACTCGTTAAACTTAAGCAATGCTTCCGGCACGAGGACCTTACATATTTATAACAGCATGCATTTTATTAATGTTCCCTCGATTTTATCCTAGTTAACGTAATAACCTATTGCAAGCTCCAGTTCCAAGAATAGCCATTTTTAAAAGCTGGGGTCGTCTAATAATCCGGCATCGATACACTGGCGCTGTTGTCCGAATGACAGATTGTTCGAAGCACAATCCGCGGCGCTAGGGGCATTAGGGAACGTCTTTGTTAACCCTGCAATGGTATTTGCATCGAGTCCAAATCCTCCAGTGAGAGCACCCTGTGCAGCATTTGTCGTAGCATCATCATTTCCCGTGGTATTCTTGCAACTCTTCTATTAAAGGTCAGTTTGATCATTCAACTCTCAGGCCTTGTTACCGAGTTAGGGTAGGACATACGACAGGAGCAGCGAGCGCAGTTGCACTTAGGAGGATAGAAATGAAAACGGTAATTTGCATTTTGGCTGAGTGAATCTCGTTGTCCCGCAACGTGGAATGATAATAAAGAGTTATTTGAGGTGATAAAGTAGTGGACGATCAACGTGATAGAATAGAATGATGATGCTAAAGCTGTCCTGTAAGATGGCGACGATCAAGAGTATTTATCTTCGAACATCTCGATATGGTTTTCTATACTTGTTTTAGAGGCTAGCTTTGCCTTCCGAAAATGGCATCCGTCTCGCCGTTGTTGTAACAGTTTTTGAAGGCGTCAAATATCCAAAAGACCCCTTCGGTAAGTAACGTGAGTTTCACTTATCTCCCTAGTCCTTAGCCGCCATTGGTTCGTTTCCATTGTCACCTTAGTAAAAAATGCTTGGCGACGATGTCAGGTTACGTGCCAAGATGCTGAAAGCTAAAAGGGGTCGGTCGTTTTGCATTTCTAATATTCGAAACACAAGAGTTCTGGAACATTGATAGTTGAGTTTATTATGAACTTTTACATAGTATGGTGTAGTCTTGAAAGCCTTGTTAGTTCGGTTACCCCTCTTGGCGTTTTAGTTCTCCAAAGAGGCTCAAAATCGGTTGTATCGTGACAGGGGATAATCCCGTAGGTAAGGCTATCGTTTTCATTTATCAAGACGTTGATAGCCTCACGGTTTCGGAGCGAAACGAGGGAACAAATCTTAGCGGAGCTAGATGACTAGCGGCTGCGCCTACCGTAGTGGGTGTGCATCAGAAAGGCACATTGCTCTTGTAGACCTCTCTAAAACACAGCAACACTAACGACACTGTATTGATATGAACTTATGAGTCTTATTATAAGTCAGGATTTGGTATCTTACCGATCTCCAAAACGGGGGCAACGTAGCTTGCGCTAATGTCAACCCGTATAATACGAGTGAGGTTTCCAATATCTGCGGTAACATGCGGTGAAGGAGAAACGAAAGTGTTTGTGAGTAAATCTCGAGGTGCCAGTCTGTTTCCTTCCCTCGTAATTATGTTCATAAGCTCTCTACCATGTCGTTAAGAGTGACCTAGCAGATTTGCAGCTTGAGTAGCCATCTATCCATGTTCACGATCAGGTACCAGGACGCCCGCACTCTGGTGGTACCCATCCCTTGACAAGATGCTAACATTAACCAAAATCAAACCATGTCTTCTAATAAGTGTTATTTTCACATTGTTAGTATCGTGAAGCCATGCATAAAATATGTCGGATTACAATATAACGGGGGATTATCATGTTGGGTCAACGCCCTTGTACCTTGCGTCTGCGAGTGGTTCGGTTGACTTGAGCAATTCTCGCAGAGTACCTTCCGCGTAGGAGGAATAGGCCTTAGGTCCCGAGGGACCTAACGGACCCAGCTCAGAAGCCATCCCTTTCCAAGACACCCAGGCTGTAAAGCCGGCTAATAGACCTGATAAAGTCTTTGGCTCCTCGGGTGCCGTAATCGCGGCGGTGGCAACGGACTCCGACGCAACAGCCCTGGAGGGTTCTGGCGGAGTGTCGCGTGTATAATATTTCACGGTAGATCCTTCAGGCGACGTCTTGGTCTGGAGGTGATTTGGTGATGTTCGTGGCTCGGCGGGGTCACTTAATAGGACCGCTCCGGAAGCCTTTAGTGTAGCACTAGTCCCCTGCATCTGACTCTTAGAGGTGTCGATAATGGCAGCCGCGAATAGAGCCGACCTCGGTGGAAGACATGCCCGTTGGTCATCGTGTTGCTCGCTACTAGCCTGAGCTTCCGTACTGTTCGCGCTTGCGCTCTCGTCCTTGATGTCGTTATCCATAGTTGCACGGCCTCGCACTTCCTCGACAATCTCAGCGGCTGGTTTTTTGTTGCTCTTATCCTCATCGGAAGACCGACTCGAGCTCATGATCGTCTCCAGAGTACCGTAGGCAACACTTCTTCGACGGGTCGCGTTTCTCCGCTTCTTCGTTTGCATGGAGCCCATATGCTCATCATCGCTCGACACCGCCTGTAAAGTGGGCCCAATAGAAACATGGTTTCTGAACGATGGGGTTGGCGGACCCAAGAAACCGGACCCCGAACCTTGAGGGGCTATGTGGACTTCGTACTGGTTGCTGAGAGAGTATCTCGTGCGCGCACAGATCTCTGCTATGCGGTCTAGGTCTGCGCCAACATCCTGCTGTATGTCTGCTATAATGCTCTTGAAGGTAAAAGATTCGAGGGGGGGTAGCTTGGCACCAGCCACACCACGACTCTTTTCGTTCCTTTTGTGCCGCGCCATACTTTTCACTGGTCCATCCCGACTAGGGCGCTGAGGAGGGGGATTCGGCGAGGACGAAACGGTGGAGACGGATACCGGGCCCCTGGTGGACGACGAAGGAGGCACGCCTGAGTATGTGCGGACTACAACGGGTTGGGAATAGGTCTCGGTAGTTGTGCTCTTAACACTTGGTGGGCCACTTGCCCCGGTGTAGCGAGGGCGCGAGGACGGCTGGGATCGGCTTAGCTGACGTAGGGCAGTTGTGCGATGAGCAGCGGTCGAGTCGTCTAGGGGGATTGGTCTCCCTTCGGCGGTACTGGGTATTAGGAAGGTTGATGAAGTATTCTTCGGGAAGAGAGGAGGGAAAACGAATGGTAGTGAACGCCGGCGTGTATGTGTATCAAGAGTATCGTGAGTATCAAGGGTACCATGGGTATTGTGAGGATCACCGCCTAGGAGAATTCCGCCGTGCGGAAGGGGAGAGGGGGGAGAGGAGGGAGAGAGAGGAGGAGAAGGACTGCGAAGCAGAGAAGATTGGAAATGTGGATGGTATGGGGTGTCTGCCATGTCCTTCTAAGGGGGGCGTTCGACGTATATAGGAGTATTGCTTTCAAGGCGCAGGATCCAGGATAGAGGCAACTCAGTTCGGCCTGAGACAAGGCAATATGTTGTCGGATATGCTGTAGTAGCCAACAGGAGGTGATTGATATTGTTAGAGAAGGTGGATGGTGGATATGGTTTGCTGGGTCGGACCTATGCGGTGCGAAGAAGTAGGGTGATTCGACGATACGTAGGCAGGACATGTGGTTCGAACCGGACGAGAGCTATGTTTGATGTTGTTATTCTATCCTTCCCGTATGATTGAGTATGGAGAGGAGGTGGAAAAGACGGACCAGGGATTAAGAGCTGCATAGAGTCGTGGTGCTGTTTAAGTGGATAATTACATTTATTGAAGAGGGGTTCTCAAGCAGTGACAAGCAATGACCAGCGATGCTTTACACGCTTACACGCCTGCACGCTTGCGCACCCAGGTATAGCTGTACCCACATATTGACCATACCGTTAAAGGCAAGGCTGGTTGTCTTACTGTATCTACGTATCTCCCACCTGAATAAATTCGCTAAATACAAATATATCTTCTCTCTCCAGCATATACATACCTACCAAATACTACTAGGTAGGTACTAGGTACATATATATGTAGATAGGTAGGTATATTTCTTACTATTTGCCTAGGACATACTGGACATGGAGGAAACACTCAAGCGGTACGTAGGTACCTAGTACTGTTAGCAGGGAGAGGCAGGAATACTTCAAATGTTATTAGGAATACTTAATAACATTAGGAAGTACAGCGGGTTCCGATTCTTCTACCGCCTGGCAGCTCAGCTACCTACATATTACAACGTACATAGGTATGCATAAATGAATAATTTGCCTTTGAAGAATCCACCAGGAATCTCCCGGCGACATACAGCGTACAATACAGACAGTACAAAGCCTTGGCCAATCCATCTCCTCCAGTGCTTCTCTACCATGTACCGATCACCGACCGCTTAGTGTGGAGGTGGTTGAACTATCGTACCATACCCTCCGCCGCCAGTTTGCACGCGATCACTATAGACACCGGGGGCTCGGCGGGCAGCAACTCGGCCTTCCCTGGCTTGCTCTCGACGATCATAGTAGACGTATTCGATATAAAAGGCGTGGATGTGACCTGGTATGTATCTGTTTTGCCGTGTTAATCTGAGCAACAATAAAATTTACAGCGCGAACGCGCTTATCGTTTCGTCACATACCCGAGGATGGTGAGGCAGATATTGATAAAAAGATCAGCGCCACACCCGGCAACGACCCAGACACCGATCGGTGGGACTGTGAGGCATTGAAGTTAGCGACACAACGTAAACAATATCCATAGTGGCTTAGATTAATTAGAAGTAGCCTACACTCCCATGCAATTGAAATGAGTCCGTTTTGTTAGAGCTCAAGTTGTGCCAAGACCTCTCTCCAGATTTAGATTAGTATGATAATAGCTCCGTAGCCCCGGCTTTTCCAGACCTAATATTTCTATCTCGAATAACTTCACCAAAACGTAATAAATCATTAAGAATTTAACGTATTTTAATTAATTATAAGATGCGCTTTCTAACGAATTAGGTTACATTTATTAAAATTCCTTTAATAAAAAAATATTTAACGATATTTTTAACCATTAAAATTTATCCCTAGTAAACGATTACTAAGGTTAACCGAATAATTTACAAAAATAAGCTGTTTATTCCTTTAACTATAACTCTACGAAAAAAGCTTATTATTTCATACAACCAGTTTTATTAAAATCGCTAAATTAAAGACTATAATTATAACCCCTTTACAAAATTACTTCAATTAAAATCGAAAAATTATATTTATATATAATTTAATAGTAATTAATGGTCGTTAAGGAACAGAATTTTCAAACATATGATTAGCCGATCTTATCTATCTATATACGGTATAAAGCCTTGGCGTAACTTAAGCTCTAACAAAACGGACTCATTTCAATTGCATGGGAGTGTACAAAGGAGAGTTATTAAGACGATAAGTATAGCTGAGGCGGCGCCCATTTTGTGCGGATCAAAGATTTAGTTAGGTGTGTGATAATTAGAGGAATAGACTATTAGATTTCCAATGTTTTTAGTTGTTAATATTCTTGATTGTCTTCTTATGTAATTATGGTCTCGGTGTTTTGCCGTTGAGTTGTCTAAGGAAGTGCGAGAGTCGACATTACATATGTAAGCGCTCTGGCTGTAAACTGGATGCATAGATGCTTACACTACCGGGAGGGGGGGGTATTTGGACATGGTCACAACTAACGTTTCAGTATTTCGACCTGATCACCACCTTCTATAAGCCTTGCTAGGGAT